GGCACGGGCATATACCTGCATCTTACATGGAGGATGCAATGGATTGCATAAGGAAACACTCATTACACGGCCTGGGAACGGAGGGCAGCAATTACTCCTCAGCTGCTATCCGTTTTACCAAGCCAACAAAAAAAAGCACTTTGACTTTGCGCTGAGATGCAAGGGGAGCTGTATAACAGTTTTAGGGTAAGTTATAAAGCCAATGCGACCAACTGTAAGTGTGCATGTAGAAAACAGGACAACCAGCTTAGGGTAACGCTGTGCTAGGCTTATCCTGATAGGTGACGAGAACTTATCCATGGAAGTGATCATGGTCTGGTCCCCTTGCAACGTACAGAGGGGAGCAGACTTCCATCAGGCAAAATGTGTTTAGGTATTTAGTGCCACAAAAGTGCCAGATCTGCAAGACTGAAAACAGCTAAACAGCTATGAGCAAAAAAGAGCCTCAGGAAATACTTCGACACAATCCGAATGGAAATTAGGGGAGTTCTTTACAAACCTGTTATTAGATGACTCAAATCCTCACAATTCCAATGTCGCAAAAGGAGGCTTTTCTGGTTTTAAAAAAACCCCAAAAAGCTAAGAAGAAATACCCTCTGCTTAAAAGACAGCAATAAAGAATTATATCCTGATGAAAATTTGGCCAGCTGATAGCAGTGGACAGATCAACAGTTTGGAAACAGAGACAATTAGTTAGGAAAATTCAATGAAAAAAATCTACGGCCAATATGATCACCACACAGTAGTGTTTCCTTCAGGTAAAAAGAAAATCCTAACAATGACTTAGGTGGGATATTAGATGAAGACAGAAACATTTCCGTGAAAAAAGGCTGAAATTATTCAGTAAATATTTCTGTTCAGCATTTGGAAAATGGGCAGAACGATGCACCCGTATTTAACGGAGGCATGTTTCTCTTCCACCTGTAACCAAGGTGAATGATAAACTAATAATCATTTTTAAAACTAAGGCTGGAAAACTTGCACGTGGAAGTATTTTTATAATACTTCAAACCTTAATGCTGATTTCTCAGCCAATACTGTATCACCGTAGAATTTCCAGAGAATCAGGGAAAATTACTGTCGAGTCAGTATGTAAAGACAGTAACTGATATGTTCCAGGTAAGCAGTAACCACAGCTTAGCTAATCTGATGCCAACCTTTGGCAAAAGCACTAAGCAGATTGATAAAGAATGGGGTCAATATAGAATTAAACTGCGTTACTACAGACAGCACCTTAACAGGAATAGACGCTGTCGAAGAAACCTTTTTTACGTTTTTCCCATGAGCAGATGCATTGACTTGACTCATGTCAGCTTGATATTATTGCCTAATCGATGGGCCGCTGCCAGAAGGGCCAGTTTTGTTTCTCTCTTCCTTTTCCTCTCGTTCCCTTAAATAGTGGTTACATGCCTGCCTGGTGAATCAGTTCAACTGTCAGGGCCAACAGAAAACTCTTCTTTTTCTATTTTTTATTGGCATAGTATCCTTTTGGATCACCTTGCTGAACTGACTCATCCTGTGGCAGTGCAATCACTAGAGCAGATGCAAAGGACGGGGTGAGAGTGCGCTGCTGGGGAATGAGTTGGTCTGTATGAGACACTTACGCCCTCCCCTTTCAGAAGCAGCTGCCTTTGCATGAGATAAGACGCAACACTGAGCAACTCCCTTCATCTGGAATGCCTATCTGAAAAAAAAAGTACTATGTGAAAATAAATATAGACCCTGTGAAATGGATTACAGTGCTCTTCAAATTCCTTAACTGATAAATCTTACAATTTAACCCATCATCCACCTAAGGGCATGTTTAGCGAAGTCACGCCAGTCCCTTTTTTCTCCTACAATGTTTATTATCTTTATATATGACCTGGAAAAATTTGAAAGAATTTCTGGTGTAGTGTGTGGAGAAAATGCATAAATTGGTGGGATAGTAAGCAAGAGTGGGACAAGCCAGTCTGACTGACCCAGCTTGTTTACTTGACTGGGCTTACCTGAGCAATATAAATTTTACAAAATCAAACACCTGGTTCTAGGAACTGAGACCACGGCACCTAGGTTTCAGTGGAGCCCGTCACAGAAAGCAGCGACATGGAAAAGGACTGCCGAGGAGGAAAAATAAGAAGCAAGTGAGCACTAAGCATGTTGTTCCCTTAGGCACCACTGAACTTCCAGGTAAGTGTATCATTTGCTGACTGCAAAAGCTGTTGACAAAAACAGAGTTGGAGACTGGGTTATTAAAAGCAGGCATATATTTTGCAGTGGGATGTGGAAGAGGAGAAATTGGCCTTCTGAACTCTTGCTGGCTTACAACATACAGGAGGCTGAGCAATCTGTAGCTGACAACAATTTTCTTTTAAACCAGTGGGATTCCGTTTTCTCCAATGACTGATACAGGGCTCTCTAACGCAGCCATTTTGCAAACGGTGCTTGCGCTGGAGTTTTCAAATATTCTCAGAAAGGACTATCATCATCTCTTAATGGGAGATTTTCCATGAGCCACTTCCCCTCTCTCACCATTATTTAACATCCTTGCGGCAACAGATGCTTTTATGGAAAAATATTTGGAAAGCGGTTAGTGCAGTTTTTGATACTATCAGCTGAATATAACAGCTGGAAGCAAAAAAGTGCCAGACTGACAGGACCAGGCAGCTTTCTGCAACGCGCCAACTGAAGCCCTAAGGCACAGGGTTTGCAGATTACTTTAATTGAGTTTCTTCATTCATCTTATGCAGTGTGTTCTATGAATCAGGTAGTGAAAAAGCAACGGCATACTTGCCTACCCTTCCGTGCGACCTGATTTATTGTCAGACCCACTACAGTGCCAAGACCTGTCCTGGATGGGTAGTGAAATCCTCCAAGGGAGGCTTAAAATGCCTCAGTTTAGCACACTGTCAACTTCAGCACTGTTTGCCGTCTTGCAGCAAGTGGGGACCCTGGCAGCCAACGGCAACCACGCAGCATCTGCGCTCGTGTGCCGCAGCCGTTCCCTCCAGCATGCGTTTTCCCAAGAAAAACACCTTTTTGCTCTCCCTCAAGGAATCGGTCCCTAAATGCTCAAAGAGGTCTCCAGTGCCCCACGTCTTTTAGGGGAAACGTCTAACCTCACAAAATCCCCCCACCCCATCACCTGCAGGACACCCTGCTGCCTGCCTGGGAGTCCCGTGGGGCTCCTGCTTGCCCCACGCGAGCCTCCAGTGCGTCCTTCAGCCTCCGCCTGCTCCCGAACACCCAAATACCACCCCGTGCTATCCCCAAAGAGCTTCTCCAGCTCCAGAGACTCTCCAACTACCCTAGAGGATATCAGCACCGTTCCCTGAACGTTAATAACCCCACCAAGGCAAATCTTATGTCATCTTGTTGGCTCTCCTCTACCCACAACTTCAGGTCCAGCTCCCCCCCTCAGCAGATCTCATCCCAGATCACTCGATTCCTCCAAGAGAGGTGCACCGTTCCTCCTCCTCCTCCTCCTCCACAGGTCTCCACCGTGGCTCCCTGCTGGCTGCAGAGCCCCCCCTGGCTGTATCAACCCGGGGCCCTCGGCTCCATCAGCCCCTGCCTCTGGGTGCCAGCGGCAGGCCCCCCGCCCCCCCGTCCCCCCCCCCG